GATGGCGCAGAAAAGGTGCTTTTGTTTTCTCGACTGCACTGTAAAATCCTGAAAATGAATATGCATGTTCCCTTATAGCTTGGCTTTTAACCAAAATATGCTTCCTTTTCATATGTAGCGAATTAAATAAGCCTCAAAGCTTGACTCCCTGTTGCAATTTTCCACTTGCCTAGTAAAAATAGTAATGTACAAACCTGAGAGTTTTCACATCCTAAATAGTCCAAAATGCATTCATTGCATCAAACTGTTTTCTGTGTACTTCGAAATTGTTGTGGTAGGAAAACTGTGGGTTTCTGAAATTCTAGCATGCCTTGCAGATGTCTTTTTGTGCACGGGGTGTGACCGGGTGGGCGCTTCATAGCTGGCAAGTTGTGTTTGCCCAGTCTAGCACATTAGGCCGCCCATACAAGTTATTCTAAGCGTTTCTGGCACCTGCGTGCTCTGTGCATCAAAAATAGGCTGAGAAATGCTGCTTTAGGAAAAAAATCCTTGCGCTGTCTTCTCCAGATGCAGGTGTTTAGGCATGGTGCATCCTATCAAAGGCTCCTTAAGCTCCATTCACCCACAGCAACATGTTGTTCTGAACGTGTAACCTTTGACTTTAAACAAATGATATTTAACTGGCCACAAGGCAGCTTCATTTGCTGTAAGTAGAAGTGTATCACTGTGACGTTAAAACTTAATTTAAAAACAAACTGTGAGATGCCAAAACTAGCGGGAGGGCTGTACTGCTTTAGCAGATTGCTGGAAAGCAAAGTGTATGCTTTTCTTAAAAAAACCAAAACTAAGGAAAGGCGAGCCCAGCTGTGGCCACACCCTTCAGCTGCTGGTTTCCCACACTGCCTCCCAGTCCCCCCAGCACGCACATGGACCCAGGCAACACACAGCAGGAGGGGGAGGAGTAGTTCATGCTTTATAAAACCTTGGTTGAACTTTTGTTTGTGTTCGGTATGACACAGAATTGAGCAGAACGGAGGCCACAAAAGCCAATTCTGTGACTACTAAAAATGAACTTGGTCCACAGCCACAGGCTACAGTTAGTTGGATTTGAGTTGTCTGTACTAGGATGGATTTTAACTGGTACCTGTAACTATTTACCAGACTGGAAAAATCTCAGCTTGGCCTTAAATATACTGGAGCTTTGGACCATGGGACTCTAGCAAACCTGTCTAGTCCAAGATGTAGGAGGAACACAGAGTAAAGATTTTGATTCTTTCTTAGATCTGCCTCTAGAATTCAAGATTTCCCGGATTTTACTATCTACGTCAAATGGACTAGGACTTCTGAGCCTTGTGATCTCTAGTCTTGGTTTGGACTGCCTAAAGATGGAGGATATAAAGCAGATGCTAAAGCAGCAGCTGGTACTACTTGGAGCAATACTCCTGTGGATGGCTGGAGTTCTGGCCTTAGTCCCCGTTTCTTGGGTTGCCCATATGATAATCCAGGAATCTGGGGATGAAGACATCCCAGAGATTGTGCCCAGATGGGAAATGGGGGATGCACTGTTCAGTGGCTGTTTGGGGGATTTTTTTATAATTCTAGGAGGATCTCTACTTCTCTCCACAGTCTGCTTATCATCTGACCATCAGTTACCAGAGCAGTATGCAATGGCAGACACGCGAGACACCCATCAACATCTGGAAACTGGAAATAGAAGACTTTAAAAAGGGCAGATACCAGGTTTTCAGATTTCTTGCTCTTGCATTACAGTAAGAAAAGTCTGCTGAACAGACAGGTTACTGTTTACAAGATTGTGGGGAGGGATTGTTTCTTACTAAGCAGCTCCTTTAATCACTACTTATCAATTAATGTAATTAAAATTGAAGGTGAGCTATGGAGATCTAAGTCACCACTGTATTTGTCCAAAATTTGATCAATTTTTTTTGTGTTGTTTTTTTTTTTTCTTTAAGGATAAGCGAGTATAAAATTTTTAATCTCTAGGCATGCATGGAGAGTTGACCATCTTTTAAATGGCAGAACTCCTCCTGGGGCTGCTTTAAATGTCTTTTTTACAAAAGCAGTATTAGTTTAAGTCCTGAAGCAGCGTGTAGTGCCAGTTCGACACGCATTACAGAAACCTCATCTCGTACAACGCTGAGAGAAGCTCCCTGGGCCTGCATCATTTACACCAGTGAGAGGCATCAGCCGTAATGCCAGGTGGTACAGGACACCATCGCGTGTGTGTCAATGTATGACTGGATGCATCCCTGCGCCAGCCCCCTCGCCGAGGAAAGCCAGCATTTCTGAGTAATAACGAGAGGCTGTCCAGCGCAGAGGTGACCATGTTCACTGCTACTGCAGTTTTTACTTCATGAATGTAAAGAACTAACTTCGAGTATATTAATCACTTTCTATATAACTTACCCTAAGACTTGTCAGTGATTGATGTGAACTTTCTATAAATTGCAACGGTTTATGTTGACAAAGCTGTAGCAGCCATCTGTTTCTGCAAAGAGAGTATAAAGACACAGAACAGCAATAAATGAATTAAATAAAACAGTGGTCTGGAAAAGAGCTTTGTTAAAAAATGTATTTTCCAATCACTGAAACAAATGGAAAGTGCAGAGACAAGTTAATCTATGTGACGTATTTGCATACTCTTACAGACAAAATTAGAACAGAAACACATTCAGAATATAACCTGATTAAATATTTAGTTCAGTCCTGAGCACTGGATATTTAATACAGTATAAACATAGCAATAGTAAAAAACAAAAAAAACCACAACACCTTACAATGATTTGATTTGTGTTCTATTAAAATTTCTGCTAAACTTTGCTCATTTGGCTAAATATTTTTGTACCAGTAATATTTAGATTTTTATATATGCAACTGTAGTGACATTGGTACCTGGAAATAGAACTAATTACATTCGTTATACCCTGCTGTGCAGAGTAAATTTCACTTCAAGAGTAATATTTACGATTTTGAACTGATGGGGGTTTATTTGTATGTATTATTTTAGCTTATTCTATTGAGTGTTTCAAGTGTGAATAATCTGAATTAGTAAAAAAACCCCCAAAACTCCAAATGCAGAATTGTTAAAAGCTGCCTATAAATATGTTCAACTTTACCAATTCAGAAAATGAGGAGCATGAATATTTTTAAGTCTCTCATTTTTAAATGAGTTTTGCAAGCTAAAGCCAGCACTACTTTAATTCTGACTTCGCCTCATGCTTACAAATCGGATGATACTTTTTTTTGAAAATTGCTTGACACGTGAGGAGAAACAGTTAATCTGGCAAGAATTTAGACAGCTCTAAATATTTTTCACAATAGCATCCTTAATGTCCAATATTTGTATGGCCAGAACTGAACTATATTAAACAGAACATAAATAAGACTGTAAATAAATAAAAGAAAAATCATAAAGTACACCTCTAAACATCATTCTACAAACAACTTATATAATCAAATTGAGAAGTTGAAACTGTCAACCTTCATTTCACCTCTACATTAAATAATTCCAGATTTGTTTTTTTAAAATTGACCTTTCAGACATGAATGCTGTCTTGAACCCAAGAAACAAAAAACAAATGGGGCATTCATAAAGATGTTCAATCAGTCATCTTGCCCAAAATAGCATGTTTGGCTCTACGTGGACGTGAACTGATGTCTTTGTGCATAAGAAACCCCTTGGGTGTTACACAGACCTCTCGTCACAGAATTGTCACTTTGAAGTTGAGACAACTGCTACCACGATGTGGTTATATTTGCTTCCATTTTCTCACCAAGTAATTATAGCCTTTTCGAGAGCTGAAGTCCATGCATGTGCGGCTTGTTGTTTGGGGAAGAAAACGTTAGCCAGTGAATGAAATACCTCTGAGTGCAACATATTCAGTAGAAAATGGAATAATTCTGTTAAGCTGCAATGTCCACCTACTTACACAGCACCCACAGAAGATAAAACCTCAACTGCTTTCCCAAAACCGGGCTGCTTCAACACCAACCTGCAACGCGCCGGACTCCTTACAGAGTGGATCCAAGGCGACGCTGCTTCCTCGCAGGCTGCTTCATGTAGGACAATTTTGAAGCAGGCCGTTCACATCTCTTGATTAAACCTGTGCATCCACAACTGCGTACACGGTCAACTGTGTGTTTTGAAAAATGTTATTTATTGTACTGAAATATGTGAAGACTTCTAGTCAGGAACTTTTTTGTTTTGAGAAAGGGTTTACCTTACCAACAAGACTTCTGATATTTGAGTTAGTACGTGACAGATTTTTCTCCTGGTACAAATACTTTAATGAAAACATCTTCATATCTGTAAACCTAACAAATACTTTTACATACTCCTCGCTGGCAATAAGACAGCCTCTAGGACACGAGATTGACATAGGGAAACTCTCATTTTTAAGGGTACGGTGGATATAACTATTCCGATGTCAATGCTGACATCATGAATTCGATTCAGCTTCCAGTTCAGAAAGCAGCTGCCCCTTTTGGTAGTCTCGTAGGAAGTTTTTAGGGTTACTTGTCTGCCTTGCCTTTCTCGCTCTCCCGCAGATGCAAGAAACCTTTTAGTGCAGGTTAAAGTACTGTACATTCACCAAACTAAACTCTGAGCTCTGTCTCTTCCTACAAAGTATTAAAAAACAAAACCAGAGAAATTTGTTTTCGGAAACAAAACTCCAATGTGGGCGATGAATCGAATTAGCAGCTGTTGTGAGGCAGCCTTGATGTTTTAGAAAGGAGCTTATGTTTGTGGTTAACTTTTATAGTTTAAAGTCACACTCTTGTACAAAAATATTGCATGGCAAAACAGCCATCTTCACAGTCTGCTCACATGAAAACAGTGAAAAGATAAACAATCTTCTGTTGAACGTCATATTTCTCAACACAGTGCAGTTCAACAGGATACACCCTTAGTACTGCCTTTGTTCCTCTGTTCCATCTTTACAAAATAAAAACACATGCAATACATACAAACTGTACAAAATCAGCAACAGTATACCAAAATTAATCTACTTTGGTTTTCCGATGGTTGGGTTTTTTTGCTGTTTTTTAAGCATACAATTCAATTCACGCTATTTTACAAATAAACATATCAATAGTGAATGTAAAATAGAAGATCTTTAAAAGCTGGAACTACAAAGTTCATCTGAAAAGAGATGAGCAAGTGGAAAAACACTTCAGTGAAAATCCATAATTATACATCATCAGCTGGAAGGGCTGGTATACTGATCTTTGCTCTTGTGAAGTATGCTATCTTCTCCCTGAAATTAGAAAAGAAAACAAGTTATTATTTTACTATTTATGGCATGACTCCAATGTCATCTGCTGTACGGTTGCTAATGTTACAGTGCGGTTCTTAAAAAATATAGGTTTGGAAAATATACAGTGAGCAAAATACACAGTGAATTTATTTACAGCAAATGTGGTTGCCAGAGCATTGACATAATTCCCTTCTTAGGCAGATTTATGTAAAAAGTAGCTCCAATTTTGAAAAAGAAAAAAAAGTAAATCAGTATTTCATTAATAACTCCAATGATGAGACTGAAATATTGATCTAGTCATTGGATTTCCTAGGATGATGTTTCAGTGGGGGGATGAAAAGGCAAAATAAAACATTTTATCCTGACACGGGAAACGGGGTGGCGGGGGTGGGAAATAAAATCCTTGTGTCTGGGCAAGACTCGGAGCAGCAGAATTGTCAACCTGTTCTCTGGTTGCTTCCCCTGTGCTGCTACCATTTCTGTCTCCTATGAACCGAGAGATTACTGAAGTGTAACAAGTTCATGCAAGCTGGTCTGCCAGCAGCCTAGGAAGCAGATGATAAGTACTGGGGGCTTGAAAATGAAAGCTCAGAAGAGTCATTCTTCTTGAGAGCTTCCAAAATGCCCCTGTGTGATCAGCCTGTGAGGCCACGGCACTGCAGCCAGTCCAGCTAGCAGGGCACATGCAATTCAGCCTTCGCAAGGAACTATTGGCCCAGCAGACAAAACCATGTTTTCCACTGGTGAAGCCCGAGTTCCCTCCAGAAATGGCAGCTCAGAGCCAAGTCCGCTAAGTCAGCTGCATTCCTCAGCTAATCGCGTGGTGGTTAGAAGATGGAGGAGAATGGAGTCTTACTCTGCCCTTCTTGCAGGGGAATGAGCTCTTGTGCGCTGCTACACATTCCCGTAAACTTGTGCAGCAGTCTGCCTGTGACGACTGTGAAATGAGCAGCACTGACCAGAACGCTTTCTCAAGACTTGCACAGAAAGCAAAAGCTGCTTGAAGATGCTCTGGATCTCACACTGAAGATGAACAGCTCAGCTGTAGCGCTGCTTTGCTGAGGAACCCCTTTCCTTTCTCTCCTGCATCACTGACAGGTGTGGTTTGCAGTGTGTGCCTCCCAGGCCCTGTTTGCTTATGGACTTCTCGAACTGCTCGCAATGCACTGGGTTAAAAAAGGAAAAAAGTCCTCACATGTATTAGCAGCTAGCTTAAATTTCCTATGCGGGAATTCAGAAATCAAACTTTTAAAATGTGTGTTAGTGACAAAAGACACTAAATTAGCTTGCGGTACGGCTTCTACATGGAAGTGTACGCACTGTATTTTTCAATCAACAATTTCGTATTTGTTTTCATACAGAAGCGTGGCCTATGGACTGCTAGCCTGCCACTTACTGTCCAGCCTTTTAAGAATTTAGACAAGTCAGAATTAAGGCTTGAGACAGAAGGTGTTCATTCTCGCTTATGCTAAGCAAGAACACTTGATTAATTGCTTCACGTAATCGGCTGCTGTCCCCACAGCCAAAAGGAGGAGGGAAACAAGAAGGAGGAGGGATTCAAGATCCCTCTTGAATACCAAGTTCTGAGCAAGGCACGAGCAGCCGTTCATCCGATTCCCGATGAGATGTATGCTGTTCTGCTGTTCTGCTGCTCCTCGCGGGGCAATTCGCTTCAGGCCACTGCCGTCGCCGGGAGGATCCACTGCTTGCAGCCCGCTGCCAGCGCGCCACGGGTGAGGGGAGCCACGGCGGTGGTCGCACACGTGCCCGCCCGCAGCAGATGCCTCGCAGCCATCTGACGCTTCTCACCCCGCTTCCTCGCTGCCCCCGCAGCTCAGCTCCTGCACCAGCCAGCTATGGAGGCCCAGTCCTCTGAAACTCCAACCTGGAGCTATGTTGGAAACGTGTGATGTTCTGTGCAATTCAAAGGCGTGTGGCTTTTTGACCAATATTACAGGGCATGTCGGATTATTTAGAAATAATTCATGTTACTTCGCTACATTCACAAGAGCACGAGAAGCAGAACAGGCCATACCTGAATGACTGCACCTGCAGCGGCACTTTCTGGCTCTGCTCCCGTAACCGGCACACGTCCTTAGAAGCTTTCCTCATCAATTTCTCAGCACTTAAACCTTGTTTCTGTTCTTCGTTTGACTGTTCAGCCTGTAAACGGGACAAATAACTGTATTTAGCTAATAATGAACAACTACTCATTTCAAAGAAATGACAAATTCTCCTGTGTCAAGCAAAACACTTGGCAGGGTTAGGTTTACAGTTGGACTCGATGATCTTAAAGCTCTTTTCCAACCTACACGATTCTGTGATTCTACAAAAATCTCTACACAAAGGGTCAGCAAAGCAAAAGACCGACAACACAAGCCTCAGCCATGGCCACAAAATTAGATAACAGAGCTTTTCCTAAAAAAACAGAGCAAATCCCACACCATCACAGGAGGCTACTAGGTATGACACAGTTTGATATTTGTTAGGGCTATGGTTAGACCATACCTAAATTTGTATGAACAAATGTTGTCTATCCAAGTATCTTTTTAAAACT